ATATGTGGGTCATTTGTAGGGGCGGCTGGTTATTGAGCCGCCCCTATAAATCGGAGGTATTTATACGGGGGCATTTGTAGGGATGGCTCAATCACCAGCCGCCCCTACAAATAGCAACGCCAGGGGCGGCTTGTGAGTGAGCCGCCCCTACAAATCAGACCCATTTGTAGGGGCGGCTCGTATCACCAGCCGCCCCTGTTGTTCCATTTATAGGGGTGGTTGATGTCTGGGCTCCTGAGCATGCCACTGTAGGGGTGGCTCCATCACCAACCGTCCCTATAAAAAATTCGTTCCGTTACTAAAAAATCGTTTTTTACATGTTGTCTGTCCACTTGATTTGGACAAATGGAAGGAACATGCATCTAAGGGAAATATTCCCTTTTAAGATAAACCCAAGCCCACGTACTCTCCATACCAAATAGCCAAAAAAAACAAGTTCGACTCATCCTAACCCAGTTGAACCTTAGAACCAAACATACGGTCACATATATGGAGTGCAACCCGTGAAAACGTACTAATACAGACGTCACTGTTTACCATTTTTCTGTTAGAATACAAAACAAATAACTTGCATTAAATTGATATCAGCTCCGTTTTACTTCTCTATAAGCATACATCTATGTTACCAATGATCTTAGAAAGTTATATAATAAGAGATCAAAATACAAGTATACTTCAATCTATACATATGAATAGTAACTAAAGTATATATAAATTGTATATTAATTATTAGTACATCATTGGTACATAAAATTAAAACACCAACTATTATTATTTCTTGTCAAACTTTTAAAATTGAAGCTGCTCTATGCTGTGCTCATCACCAAGCGCAAGTTGCCCCTTTGCTTCAACGGCCACCCCGTCGCCATGGTATCCTCTAGTTCCCTGGGGAGACATCATCAGCAGCTGCGAGTCCTCCGGCCACATCGCTAAGTGGGGGCTGGAGCTCATGGGGCTCAACATCTCATACGTCCCCTACACCGCCATCAAGTCTGAGGTGCTCACCGACTTCATGGCAGAATGGACGAAGGAGGCAAGCCCCGCCTGCCTCGATCAAGCAGGAGTACTAGACCATACTTCGATGGATCCCTGATGCTCGATGGTGCATGGGCTGGAGTCTTGTTCATATCCCCGAGCGGTGACAAACTCTGGTACGCCCTTTAACTCCACTTCCAAGCCACCAACAATGTCACCGAATACGAGGCGCTCTGTGATGTGAACTCATTATTAGTGGATGTTGACCAGAAGAATTATATCTTGGCAATGGAAGCACAAATCTCATCATAGAAGATAGCTGAGTTCTATCAGAGCCTTGGCGTAGTGGTGCTAAGGATGGCAATGGGGCGGGTTCGGATCGGGTGGAGTGTCTGGGCACCCAAACCCAAAACCTGAACTTAAAACCCGAAGCCACCCCAAACAACAATTCGGGTGAAAATCCATCCTCGAAACCGAAACCCGCGGATCCCCGAAACCCGACGGATAATCCGAAACCCGGAAAATTCGAGATCTAGGGAAGGGATGCGCCAACGCCGCCGCCCTCTCGCTCCTCCGCCAGGCCGCGCGCCTCCCCTGCACCGCCCGCTCTCGAGCCGCCAGCCACCGAGGGCAGAGTGCCGTCAAGGACCCGCCGACTGGACCTCTGCTGTGCGCGCCCATGCCATGTGCGCCCACGTCGGCGGATGCAGGAACAGGGCCGAGGAGGCCGCACGCCGCCAGAGAGAGAGAGATCGCGAATGGGGTGCGGGGAAGGCCGGCGAGGTCGCGGACGGGGTACGGGGAAGGTCGGCGAGGTCGTGCCATCGCGGACTGGCGAGGCCGGTGAGGTCGCCCGTCGGGGCGTCGGGTGGTGCGGTGTGCAGCCGCCGTGCAGCGGTGCGGGGCTCTTGGCCTGGGTGCGGATGAGGGATTGAGGGTTGGCTGAGCACTGAGCAACAAGGATTTCAGGCTTATATAATAGGGTTCTTAGTTGGGCTTCTAGTGGGCTCAATATTTCGGGGCCCGAATGGAGCTCCACGGATGAAATTCAGGATCCGCCTTAAAACCGCTGTATTTCGGGTATCCGAACCCGTAAATCAGTGGGCGAAAACCAGGAACTGAAACCGAAAACCGTGGACCCGAAACCCGCGGATATCCGCCCCGAACCCGATTCACTGCCATTCTTAAGTGGTGGTAGTCACGTTGCAAGAGACAATGGACTTGGTGGCGTTGCATCTATTTAAGCTTTGTCTTATGGTGTTTCATTATTTTAGGTGTTGATGTGGGACTATGTTACCGTACTTTGTAGCATCTTACTTTGATTAATTATATGTTTGAAATATGTCGTATTTGTGGTGTGAAGGTTGTGATGTCGTACTTTGCCGGCGAAATACTCTTGGTTAAATTCTGGATGCAAAATGAAAATTATAGAAGAGTAACATGTTTTTATGAGAAAATAAAATAGGTGCCATGTTTTAGGCAGTTTTGCTAAAGATAACAGAAAAAAACATACCCTCCCTCACTAGCTAAATGAATGGGTCCCCTTTTAGGCTCTGTTTGATCTCTTAAACTAACAACTAATTAGATAAACTTTAGCCCTTCAAAATCCAAATAACAGGACTAATGGATAGGCTAAAGTTTAGCTAAAGTCACAAGTAATTGTTATAGTTCACTAGTCCATAGAAACCGACGATAGTAATTCTTCGAATTCTCGAACAAATCCAATCCAATAGAATAAAAAATGGAAATACCTAAATTAAGTAATAAAACATATATAAATAATTAAAGAATACAATCCTTATCCATCTTTTTTATTTGGGGCTAAGAGCATATCAAGAGTTCCGTAAATCCCTTCCTAATCCTTGTTTTCTAGCAAGATAAGAAAAAACCCCTCTCCAACAACTCCTAATCCATCCTCCTAACTTTTAGAACTTGGAAAAAGTCACCATGTTCCGCGTAAAGTTACACGCTTTCGAGTCGCGCATATCTTCTCTCTCCCGCGTGTGTTTGTCGCCCAATCTAAAGGTGAAAGGGCGTGGAAAGGATAAAGAGTAGGAATGGGTTCCTGATGCAAATGTACAAGAGAGAAAGAATATATAAAAGTGGTTAAAATAATTTAGAAATAGTATAAGATTCCTGATGTAAAATTATCTTCTATATTTTAGGAGTAGATTATTAGAAACTCTTAGAGATGACATTCTTTATTCCTTCAAATACTCTTTTAGGAATGAGTAAATTACACGGCCGGTTCTTAAAAGTATTGGACGGGTTTCATATGGGTCCCCAAACTATAAAATTGCACGTTTGGCTCTCTAATGTATTTAAGTGATCTCATCTAGGTCTAAAATAGACATGAGAAGGATTAGAACCTGATGTGGTCGTGATTTAAGCATGATCCCATAGGCGTTCTAATGGTGCCCCACCTAGCCCTCGCCAAATATTGGGTTCCCTGGCAGGCTCCTCCTCTGCTGCCTCTCTATAGCATCCCACGGTGCCTCAAGGCCCACTTCACCACTTATTAAATTACTGTCACCACAGGCGCTGCTCATCTCGCCTCTGTATCGTCATGGGCGGAGCATGGGTCCCAAACTATACCGGCGGGATGGACACCAATAGGTGGTGGGGAGGCCTCGCAGTGCTCCTGCGCGAACACAGGGGCCCATGGCATAGGTGGTTGAACGAGGGAGATTGTGAGCTAAAGTTGGGTTTGGCAATGGCGGCACCACAAGAAGGGACGGGGGTGTATGCAGCGTACACCGCAGAGCTCAGCGCCTTTTATAAATGGAGAGAGGAGAGGAGTAGCTCGTGGTTGTGAGCTCGTGCACAGGCGGGCAAATGGCGGCCACGGCTTCGAGTGTAAGGGCGACGCCGCCCGGCGCTAAACAAGTGTGGACCTCGCTTTCGTTGGGCACCATGGGACGCCGAGGCAGCAGACCGCAACAGCGCCAGCAGCCATGACCGCGGCCGATGGGGAGGCCTGCGCAGTGGTCGCGACGGCCGCCGACATCATCCGCTCTTTTAGTTGCGCGAACCTTGCCGACTAGACTCCGCCATGGCACAAGCACGAGCCCGCCTGCAATGGCGGGCAGGAGCAGGGTACGGCGGCGGGGATGACGCGCAGGACCTGGCCTAGCCGGTGGTGGCACGCGGGAAGCGCTCGCAGTCCCGGCGTGAGTCCCCGTCGGCGTCAAGCTCCATCGTCTCCGCGGACGCGAAGAAAGGAGAAGAAGACGAGGCACGGCACCCGTAGCAGCCCCGCGTCACCCCTTGACTACAACAAGGGTCCGGTCCGGCCGCGGCCCACTAGCGGCAAGTGAGGACAGCGCCCTCCCCCAGCAGAGCCACAAGTGTTCCTGCGTCGGCCAGCGCGTTTAAAGCTCATTTTGTGCCTAAATCATGTCCATATGGACAACCACGTTAGCTTCTAATCCTTCTTGTGGGATGAGATCACTTAACGACATTAGAAAGTCAAATGTGCGATTTGATAGTTTTGGGACCCAAATGAAATCGGTCCGATACTTTAAGGATCAGCTGTGCAATTTACTATATAAGAACCGTAAAACTTCATGTTTCTAGGAAGAAAATATTAGATACTATTAGGGATGCTCTAACAACCATTTCTAATCTATAAAACCAAACAATTAATTAAGGATCCACACAAGTATGAACTAACAGCTCGTCCTGGTGTATCTAAATAAGAACCGGTGAGAGTACTATATAGATGGTCTAATAAACAATGGCTGCCAGAAATCCCATCTACGCTTAACACTAGCGGTTCCCACAGTTTTCCTCTTCGTCTGGCGGGAATACAGCCCGACACGAGCACGCCCACGGCCCCACCGCCCCCGTCCCGCTCCAGAACCAGATCGTGGCCGTCCGCTTCCTCGGCCACACGAATCTCCACGCGCCCGCGAGGAAAACGTTGCCACCCCACCACCTCCCGCTTCTTTCCTTTCAACCGGAGCGACGAGAGACACGAGGTGTGGCGAGAAGAGAAAGGGGAAACCACAGTTATTATCGGGGGAATGCGGCCGGGCGCGCCGCCGTCGGCTCATTCGCGGCAGCGTCCCGAGGTACGCGGGGGCTGATTTGCCGCGGTCCTTGTGAAATTTTTGGGGTTTCCGTTTGGTGCGTCGGTCGAACTGCTTGGATTGGGGTGGGTTATTTCATCTTTTGATTTTGAGGGGTTTATTTCCATGTCTGGGTGCTTGGATTGGAGAACTGAGCGGAGGAGGTAGAGTCGCGTGTAGCGGTTTCCCCGCGTTTCGTGGCCGCTGCAAGATGATTTGTCTCGCTTGTGTAGTTCTGTGCTCGATTTGAAGCGGTTTTGCGAAAATCCTTTTCAGAAAGTTCACCCCGTGGATCATGGGTCTCTTCTTCAATTGTTTCTATATGAACAAGTACCAGTTGTTGGGTTTCTTGTCGGTAGTAATGGTGTCAGTAGCCTGAAATCTGTAGAAGAGCAGGTTTCCTGGTTGCTTGGATGATGCGAACTGAATTGTTAGTACTGGTATCTTAGCGTAATTAGTTGCTAAGTTAATCGATCAGGGACCGGTATGAATCTGGTGGGATTTGTTCAGCGTCAATAACTGACCAGATGACATAATGTTGCTGTCCTCTTATCTGTTCGGTGTCAAACCTTTGCTGGACAATAACTGACCAGATGGCATATTTTTCGCCAAATGTAGCAGCTTCTTGTCAACTTGTGAAGATTTGTGAATAATGACTAATCTACATTGTTAATGGTTTTCTGATGGATGGTGATAAGGCGAAGGAATCAGCTCCAGATTGTGCGTCCAGTGGTGCAGCAGAGCCAACCAAGAAGCAGGAGAAGAGGAAAAGAGCCTCTGCTGAATTGGGTGTGGTGGACAAGGAATCTGCATCTGCTGAATGGCGGCGAGAAATTGATGCACTGTATGAATATTACAAGAAGGTTTCTGGTCGTAAGCTGAATCCAGAGGAGCTTTCGTGCACCACAAATGACTCGGTTATAGCATGCTTGCTGGAGGAGAGCAGTCTTTCTTGTGCCAAGTTAACAGATGAAATCTACAAGAGGATGAAGTTGCAAGATGGTGTCACCGAGTCTTCAGTGCGCACCTCAGTACTCAACATTGGTAGGAGATCTTCGTATGGGATTTCTGCTATGGATGTCGATGATCTGGAGGATGAGTCGGATTCAAGCCTTTGGTGTTGGGAGGTAATATATATAATCTAATACTTATTACTCTCCTGCATCATTTGAGAAAAGGAAAATCTCTCTAATACAATGAAACACAGCTCTCCTGCGTTTTCCAAAATAAAAAAACTTATTACTTTCTTTCCTGTCAATTTCTCCATTGTATGGTAAGTAAGCTTTCTTGATCTGTTAGATGCCTATGGGACAGACACAAGATTTGGCATTATTACCCTTCCATCTACATAGTAGTTTGAGCATTCGACGCAAAGCTCGGAAGTTAATCCATAAAAGGATTCTGATTCTTTTGGGTATGATGATTTATCTTCTCCCAGTTTCTCTTTAGAAGTATAAACTTATACGGTGCTAATGTGTTTATGTGTTCATAAAAGATGACATTTGAAGCGTTTGATTCTCGCTAGTGCTTGGTATTGCATGATCTCAGTCAGTTAGATTATTACTGTTAGCAATATGTGCTGATGATTATATTTTTACCATGCTTATCTGTATTTGGTTGAATCAACAAATTCTTCCCTTTCCACTTGTCTCTGTTTTTAGCGATTTTATGTGCATTTTGGAAAGGAACATGTTTAATTGCATGTCAATTGTCTTGTACATACAACTAGGCTTTTAAATATGTTTATTGTGCTACCATTGATTTTATCATTGCAACAACAATTAATGTCTAGAACAGACCCCTGCAGTTTTTGCCTTCGTTAAGGTTCGTATTTTCTAGCTATCGTCTGCTGTCTGTGTTAAGGTTATTTACAATGCAAATATATATATACGGATTATTTAATATATATGTTAGTACTTTGTACAGATTACTGCAGTTCTTTAGAAATATTTTCTTTTCTTATGTAGCATCGAATGTTTGGTCTATTCAAAAGGGCATTGTAATTGGCAATCATGCTGTTATTGAATTATTGTGCACCATAACATGCAAGGCATATTTAAACCGCATAATCTGATGCATCAATTAGGAAGCCATTTATTTAAGCTTCTTTTTACATAATTGAGATGGTCTGCTATGAGTTTGAGAACATGCGAGTGTAGACATAGTTTAGCCACTTTACTAATTACAAAAACATAAGATTGAAGTGGTTGCCGTAGATGAAATGAAAGGCCATCCTTATAGGATATATGAACCAGGAGCGCTTAGATGATCGAGTAGTTGCCAATGCTACTGTATTATTGGGAACTGTAATACAGGAGATATTACATAATGCACTACATTAGTTCCAAAACAAAGAAAAAAATATACTTGATAGGGAAAACTAAATATGAAGTAGGTCCAGTGGCGGGTACGCATCAAGTCTGCACACTATTATTCAACTAATGAGAGAATCAGCACGTAGCAGAGGGACATTTTCAATTTCTTAGTTTATAAATTATTGGTTCCAACTTATGATATAATCTGTTGCTAGATCAGTTTTACTGGTTTCAATTACTTGACAGGGGGTTTGGCCAATTATTTTTTTATGATTACAAATCGAGATGTATATTTTCTTTTACCTTGCCATCCTTGTTTATCCTGTTTCAAATTTATTGTTTCTGGGCACTTGTCTCTTTGGAATAAAAATGCATCATCATTTTGTACTATTTTATTTGCATGGCATTCCATCCGATCAAAATTAGATGGCATCTTGGACAGCATGATTTTGTATAAGAAGCACTATTTTGGAAGCTACTAATTGGTTCAGTCTTTTCTATTTTAGTACATTGACTTTTAGCTACTTTAACACTGTTACAGATTGTTATTTAATATTGATGGAATGTTAGTGTTGAGATAACTCCTCACCTGTTTAAGTTAATGCTCTTGCCCTACAATAGTACTACACTACCACATGAGTTTTGAGTATACACCACTGATGTGCAAAGGAATGCTGAATGTTTTCTCCGTATTTTATCTTACAGGCAAGCTGGCTGCCAAAGATGCCAGTAATGCTCGTAGCAACCAGAACAGCCTTATGGAAAATGCTGGGGAAGTTCTAGATCTGGATGAGATTCGCTCTATCGTTGAGTCAAAACACAAGAATGATGCTGACATGTACTTATCTTACTTCATCTACATAATTCAAAATTTTGAAACTACTCACAGTACTGAATTTTGATATACCATTGGACTGGTGCTGTCTTTTTACCAAAAAAGTGCAATATTGGTAAGTAGTAACTTTCCGATCACAAGCATGATGCATAGAGTAGATTCAGTACTGTGCATTTAAGTACTGTTGTCCAATCAAGACCATCATATTGATACGCAAGATTTGATACGCAGCTCCCCGCGTGTTCAAAAAAAGAAAAAGAGAAAAATAAAGGATACTGTTGTAAAGTATCCCCTTCAATGATATTGATGTTTCCTTAATATTTGTAATAATTGGAGCCAGGTTAGATGATAGTTTCCTGTTTGGGAAGTTTGTAAGAAACCATCATATGTTGTGTAATCATGCCATGTTATTCTAAATAGCATCTACAACATCACAGCAACGGGAACTTAGGCATATGAATGAAAAAACTGAGAGGGAAGCAAAACGTATCGAGAGAGAAAATAAGCGGCTAAAGAAGCATCAGGAAGAAGAGAGGGCAAAGAAGAAGAAAGAGAAGGAAGAGGCTGAGTTGAAAAGGAAGGCTTCCATTCAAAAGCAAGCAAACCTCATGGAACGTTTTCTTAAAAGAAAGGCGAATAGCAACACGGAAAGTTCTGGTAGTCACCACTTGGAGAGGACTAACTGCTCAAAATCATCAGGAAACATTGAAGAACTTGCTGTTGCAGCTACATCAGGTATGGATTGTACCTTGTCTAAAGAAAGTCATTTGAGCATGGAGGAACTCCGGATGTAAGTTATAAACTATTATGTCTACATCTATTTGAAGTAATATAAGCTACTGTACAATCAGATTGCTATGGATGTTAATCCTATGAAACACCTTTTAGGGCCTGCTTGGTTGGCTACCAAAATTGCCATACCAAAGATTTGGCAAGAAAAATTTGCCAAAACTAGGGCAAGAATATTTGCCATAAATTTGGCATGATGTTATAAGAACTATGCTGACTGTACCATCAGTTTGTCGTCTTGTTGCTCAATCAATATGTGCATTTTTCCTTCTCCCTACATTTTCATTCTATTCTAGTTAAAAGAAAAGTTAAAATGCCACATTCATGATTAGAGAATGATGTATATGTATAAATAGGGAGAACAAACAAGTCACTGAGGATCATTATAGATCAATGTTTTCAAGTCGTCCAGTCGAACCTAGTCGTCATGGGACCGACCAGAAGACTAATCGCGATTAGTCGTCGACCAGGACGATTAGTCGAACCTAGTCGACCCCTGGTCGTCCTATATATCAGGATATATATACCTACTATATATATACCTATATATACTATATAGTATACACAATAAAGCAAGCATCAAGAGCAGAGCAGCAGCAGCCAGGAGAGGAGAGGAGAGCAGCAGCAGCCAGGAGAGGAGAGGAGAGGAGCAGCAGCCTCTTGTATATATATTATAAACCCTAGTGGGCCAAATTGGCAGCCCAACTACTCACCTGGAAGCCCAGTCAGACAAGCCCAAAGAAGGCAGTGCTCAGCCTGGTCGTGCAGCCCTCTGGTCGGACGACTAATCGTGATTAGTCGTCGACTAGTCGGACGACCAGGTTTCTAGTCGAGCTAATCGAGTCGAAGTCTCTAATCGAGGTCAGGGTACCGACCAGACCGATTAATCGCGATTAATCGGACGACTTGTAAACATTGTTATAGATAACCAAGTTTATTGTGACTTCACGATGCAGGATACATGTTGTGAAATGGAGGAAACTCTATCAACATAACAGATTGTGCCATTGGGGTGTTAGGAGATGTCCTAAAATTCAGTTGTTTCCTGAGCTAAGGCTACAAAAGTCCTCTGCAGCTATAACTTCTGATAGTATGTCGACTCCAACAAAAGAACAGTCATCTCAGAAGAGCACAGGAAGCCTTGATATCACCAAACTTCTGGATGAACTAGAGGTATCATCTCGTTCTCAGAATAGTATATCGTCTTCAGTTTTGCTTGTGAAGAAGCTTCTGCAGTTTGATAAAAGTTCTAGGCCAGCATACTATGGTACCTGGAGAAAGAAGAGGTATTCTCCAGCTATTATGTGTCATTACACATGGATTTCTTTGTTTTCTTCTATTTTATTAAAATTGAATGTTATACTTAGAGAATATCTAGCATAGTTGAATTCAATCACTCATGTCATTCATAACGACAACATTTTCATATAAGTAAAATCCTACAGTTCTACAGTTAGTGCAAGGCAACCCTTTCAGAGGGATGAGGAACTCAATTACGATGTCGAGAGTGATGAAGAATGGGAAGAGGTACTTTCTCTTTTTGCCTTGGCTGCTGTGGAGATGAATTCTCATTATATATTAGTCTTGATGCAGGACGATCCTGATGATCCTGGTGAAAGATTATCCGATTTTGAGGAAGATGATGAGAAAACTATGAATGGACATGATTCCATGATTGATGCAGAAGAGGAAGCTGAGAACAGTTTTGTAGTGCCCAATGACTATCTTTCAGATGATGAGGTTATATCATTATATGGATTGCTAATGTCAACCCCAGAATATGAAAAATGAACAACAACAACAACAACAACAACAATAAAGCCTTTAAGTCCCAAACAAGTTAGGGTAGACTAGAGTTAAAACCCAGTAGAAGCAATCAAGGTTCAGACACGTGAATAGCTGTTTTCCAAGCACTCTTATCTAAGGCTAAATCTTTGGGTATATTCCATCCTTTCAAGTCTCCTTTTATTGTCTCTATCCAAGTCAACTTCGGTCTTCCTCTATCTCTCTTCATGTTACTATCCTAGCTTAGGATTCCACTACGCACCGGTGCCTCTGGAGGTCTCCGTTGGACATGTCCAAACCATCTCAACCGGTGTTGGACAACCTTTTCTTCAATTGGTGCTACCCCTAATCTGTCACGTATATCATCGTTCCGAACTCGATCCCTTGTATGACTGCAAATCCAACGCAATATACACATTTCCGCGACACTTATTTGTTGAACATGTCGTCTTTTCGTAGGTCAACGTTCTGCACCATACAACATAGCAGGTCTAATCGTCGTCCTATAAAACTTGCCTTTTAGCTTCTGTGGTATCATTTTATCACATAGAACACCAGATGCTTGGCGCCACTTCATCCACCCTGCTTTGATTCTATGGCTAACATCTTCATCAATATCCCCGTCTCTCTGTAGCATTGATCCTAAATATCGAAAGGTATCCTTCCTAGGCACTACTTGACATTCCAAACTAATATCTTCCTCCTCCCGAGTAGTAGTGCCGAAGTCATATCTCATATACTCAGTTTTAGTTCTACCGAGTCTAAAACATTTGGAGTCCAAAGTCTCCCGCCATAACCCCAGTTTCTGATTCACTCCTGTCCGACTTTCATCAACTAGCACTACATCGTCCGCGAAAAGCATACACCAAGGGATGTCCCCTTATATGTCCCTTGTGACCTCATCCATCACTAAGGCAAACAGATAAGGGCTCAAAGCTGACCCTTGATGTAGTCCTATCCTAATCGGGAAGTCATCCGAGTCTCCATCACTTGTTCGAACACTAGTCACAACATTGTTGTACATGTCCTTAATGAGCCCGACGTACTTTGTTGGGACTTTATGTTTGTCCAAAGCCCACCACATAACAGTCCTTGGTATTTTATCATAAGCCATCTCCAAGTCAATAAAAACCATGTGTAGGTCCTTCTTTTTTTCCCTATACCGCTCCATAACTTGTCTTATTAAGAAAATGGCTTCTATGGTTGACCTTCCGGGCATGAAACCAAATTGGTTCATAGAGACATGCGTTATTGCTCTCAAGCGATGCTCGATAACTCTCTCCCATAGCTTCATAGTATGGCTCATCAACTTAATTCCCCGGTAATTAGTACAACTTTGAATATCCCCTTTATTCTTGTAGATCGGTACCAATATACTTCTCCACTCGTCAGGCATCTTGTTCGATCGAAAAATATGGTTGAACAGCTTGATTCTGAATTCAAGTTAATACAATTGCTACAGATCATTTAAAGCATGGATTATTACTTGATTCTGAATTCAAGTTAATAATTTATTACTGAATTTTATCATTCCATGTATACAAAGATCCTCTTAATGTCTTGTAAGATGTTCTTTAGAACAGTTTTAGCCTGGCAAATGCTATCTAATGATTGCACATCAATAAATCTTTGATGATTCCACCCCAATTTTCATGTGAAAATCATGTTTGCTCTTGATTCCTTCATTGCATGATTGGTTCTGCAGAACCTTCTCTTCTTTTATGTAGGGCATGCAATGTGAGCCTGTATGTATCAAATTTGATGAAATCAGTACCATGCTGAGCATCCCTGGGGTTACAGTTGAGGAACTTAATGCTCTACTGCAAAGGCAGAAAGCTCTTCATATCATCACAGAACATGCTCTCAAAATAGACAGACCTCTAGTCATATCCAACCTAGATCATAGGAAACTTGACCTGCTGAATGCTGAAGATATCACTGGAATGTTGAAGCTGGAGAAAATCTGTTTGCAAGCTCTTTGCATGAAGAAATACCCTGGCAGCCCCATCATTGATGTGCCTGTGGTTAATATGACCATTGAGGATGGATTTTGCCGATCAAACAAAAAGAGCCCTAGAACACCCGTATCATCCAAAGCCATTTCAGAATCAGACATGCCTGAATTTGTAAGTTGCTAGGAGACATTTAGATGGCATTCTTCTCTGAAGTGAAATGAAAGATTTCCTATTCACTCATGATGTTCTGCAGGCCAAACTTGTTGCATCATGCCCTCAAGGGATAGTCAAATTGGAGTTGTTACATGAGACATTTCCATATGTCTCTACGGCACGACTGAAGAACAAAGTTCGGGAGATAGCTGAGTTTACCAATAACCGCTGGCAGGTCTTTTTCATTTTACACTAATTTTCCCTGGACATGCATTGCTATATTTTCTCCATGCCAAATAAGGGTATCATTTTGAACAGGTTAAGCAAGATATCAAGGATCGGTACAGTTTATCTCTTTCTCCAGGTACTCTTAGTCATAATTTACTTTTGTTAGTAGATTTTGTGAGTGATGCTTTTTCTGCCTTGGAAATGTGATATAATGTTGCTATCAAGCAATTAAGATAGATACTCCCTCCGGGCTCTGGTAAAAAAACCCTGTATTGTTTATAACAAGATTTTGTCAAACCTTCAAATCTACAGACATCAATAACCTTTATACTATTTAGTTTGTAAATATGCAACTTAAATGGGTAGATTTGCATTCAAAACATTTCAAAAATCTCAAATTTGAAGGATTTTAAGAATATATTTAAGAAGAAATTAGTGGTCAAAGACATACCATGAAGACGATGCAAAGGTGTCAAATATTTTGGACCAGAGGTAGTATCTCATCCACTAGCTACCCGTCATGACATTTCCATCAAACTTTGCAACGCAAATGTCAAAATATATGAACCATGTTTGTTAATGGATTAAGTGTTTGATAACTTGATTGTACCTACCAAAATTGGCTCATTTTCATGCTTGTGATACATTTTATGCTTTCTATCTATAGTAATACAATCCTGTGCTTTCTGTAACAGATGAAGGTGAAGGCCCGAAATGTACAGCATTGTGCTCCTCCCAACAGTGCCAGCCACCCAATGAATCGGGTAACACAGGCGAATCTTCTCCCCAGTGCTCCCTGAAATCCGAAATGGTCAGACAACAATTTGGCGTGCAAGGGTCACATGGCAGCGCACGGCATCCTGATCCTTGATAATTAACATTACTCCCCCAAGATGGCAGGCGGCCAGTAAGACTTGTAGTACTGCGCATGTATATTTGCTTAGGTTATACTACAAAGTAAGTATAGATATGTAGGTTCAGTATGCCGAAACCTAGATACCAGCAAGCAGGGGCCGTAGCCAGTGTTGTGTAGCTCAAGCAGTTTGAGATTCTGTCTCTGGAATGGTTGCTCTGCCTTCCCATGTAAATTCGAACTGGTTCCTGGTGTTGCTACACACTCATGTATCTAATGCTGCCATACTTTTGTCAGAGGTGGTTGGTGCAATATCGAGCTTAATTGTCTGGCAAGATAGCAGTGTATGCGTTTATGTGCTGGTGTGGATTTAATAACAGTGCACGAGGTGCTCGCGCTATTGCAATCATCATCAGAGGTAAAACCTTCGTAGATATTACTGGCACTTCTAGAATAATTTCAAGGAGACTTGCCAGGATCCCAGGATAGCACTCAGGATTACATAATCTATCACGCCTACTTTCGCTCGTGCGGCATGGTTTTCAACTGATCCCTCTCTTCGGACTGACACTCTGCCAAATGAAGATGGAGTACAACTCATTCTGTCCACTTTTATTGCTGACTCCATTTCTGATTACCGGCTGCAAAAAATTATAACACTCTTATGGTACATATGGAAAGCCAGAAACAACAAGAGATTCAACAGACAAAACTGGACACCGTGGCAGGTCCATCATGCTGTCGCTGCATACATCTCTGTTGCAAATGCAAACTCATCTGCAGATGACGAACAGATGCAAAATACACGGCCAGCCACACCTGATAACAATGAGCACGGCGGTGGCACTGACGCATTGCTGACAGAGTCAAACCAGGTAATGCCTCACTCCTCCATTCAACCCAATGCAGGTCACACACGGAACAACACGACATCTGCAGCCATTGCTCCAACCCAATCACCAGGAACAATCTGGGCCCTCCAGGTACGAACCAGTTGCATCCAGGAAACACACACAGTTCAATCCGAACCCAGACGAACATGTACACTTACCAAGCATCAAGACCATACACAATTCAACTGCCAGCCCTGCTACCAGGTCCAAGATGCTACACAGATGCATCAACTCTGATAGATCACACCTCACGACAGCCAATGAGAGCTGGACTGGGAGTTTTCATCATTAATACAGAAATGCATCCACCACAGAACATTTACATCAAGGGAGTGCTCTCAGATTCCTCCTCGGTTCTAATGGCAGAGGCTGCAGCTCTAGCACTTGTTGCAGCTGTCATCTCTCGGCTTCAACTGCAGACACAAACATTTACATCGAGTGCTCTCAGATTCCTCCTCGGTTCTAATGGCCTCGCTGCAGCTGTCATCTCTCGGCTTCAACTGCTGGACACAAACTTATTATAATCAAGAGCTAGTATGCTTCTTCAACAGCACAGATCATTCCAATCCTAGACATTCAGTACTTCATCATCTGCTTACAACAACAAAATCACAGGATCTTCAAGATAGGGAGGCATCTAAATCAGACGGCTCATACTCTAGCAAAACAGGCTTTCCTAGACATTCAGTCTCATCATGCTAGTCCATCTTTCACTAGTACAAATAGCGATCATGCCAACCAGTGCCCATTGATGGAAGCACTGCAACATGTACTCATTGACTCTGTATCCCTGCCAACAGCTCGATGCTGTTGAAATAAATTCATGTTTCTTGTCCAAAAAAAAAAGCCAGAACTTTTTAAAACAAAGTGATATTTTCACACTAGCTCTACTTCATTAACAACATTACCTGCAACATCAAACAATGCCAATAACTTCTGCATAAAGATTTAGTGCATTACAGATTAGAAAGTCAAACTGTGGCACTGTCAGACTGCCACAAATACACAAATCTTACAATACACAGTTCATTTAGCAACCCCCTACTTCAACAGACCACCTCAAATTTAGCAGCAAACAAGAGTACGCAAGCAGCAACTACTCAAACGATGCGCATACACCTACCCCCTGTTTCCTTACATTCAAAGGGATCAGTTTTAGACAAATCATGGACATGATTGATATGCATAAAGTCATGCTCACATCTTTTAGTAGTAAAATAAACCTGAGCACATCTTGAAGCCCTTTTCTCCAGCTGGAGCAGCAGATCCTGCTCTGCAAGAAATCTATCAGTCACACTGTCCCTTTGGCACTCAAATGTCATTGACTCCAGCATCTTTGCGTTCAGTACAAAGAATGTGGCAAAGTTAACTTCTGACCTTATGCCTCGATAATTATTCAGCACGACTGTCTTGAGACGGATGTGATAAGATTATGTGATGTAATAAAGTACTTTACTTTGATGTTATTGCAATTTGAGATTATATGTGTGTTTGGACATCCTGGGCGTATATATATGAGCACTTGGTTTTGTTATGCAAAATTGGGTGCGACAAATTGGTATCAGAGTTATAACTGACTGTAGGACGATCAACCTAGTTAGAAATGGACGTTTTTAGGATCACATTATCTTTATTTTGCTACCTTTAATTTACTATAAAATTTTTTGCTTATATTCTGTTGCAAAAATTATCTTATTCTAATACTCAACCTATTCAATCTTATAGATGGCCCGCACTAAGCTGACAGCCCGCAAGAGTACCATTGTGATGCCAACAAGGAGGACGAGGTCCACGCTTGGCAAGCGCGTTCCCCCACACCTAGCTGAGGCATTGAGGAACATGGAGGAGGAGCCCCAAGAGGAACCTTTGGAGAATGAACCTATGGATGAATAGGCTAAAGAAGGACCCATGTATGAGGAGCCTATAGAGATAGAAGAATCCGAGGAGGAGCCATGGAGGAAAAATGAACAAGGGGGTCAGGATGGAGTTGGTGATCCTGATGATTCCGACAACTCTGATTCTGATAATGGGGGTAATGACAGTGGAGATGATAGAAGACGGTGGATATGATGGTGATGACTACCATGCTGCACTGTTGGCTAAGGGGTGGACCTCGGAGATCCACTATGATTTGCAGGGCGATGTCTACTACCATCCCAAGCTTCTCTCCCTTGTATGCCGCTACCACACCAGGTGCACCGTGCAGTACCAGACAGAGCATTGGACCCACCCCGACTAATGGGAGATGGAGGTGTACATCCGCGAAGGGAGTCGGGTGTGCTACATCCACCATGCTATCACTACACGGCTCACACGTGCAGCCGCCATCCGGGATGCTGCTCGACAGGCGTTGATGGTCAATCGCGACCGCCACTTCGACGACATCAAATGGGAGGAGGATCGTTATCTTCCCCGCCGTCGGAGCGGCCAATCCACCTGCAACATCACCGCACCACTTGGGGAGAAGAACCATAGCCTTAGGCTTACCCTGATGAGCTTGGCCTAGACCAACACTGACTTGGATCAAACCTTGGATGAGCTAAATGTCATGGGAAGGCATACCTACAGCTTGCCCTTGAGAATGCTACATTGAAGCAACAACAAGATGGTCCTGATGTGGAGATTCCAAGAATTTCTGCTGATTCGTCCCCAAGGTACAGAAGAGGCTATGGAGACCCCAACACCAGCACCAACATCGAACCATAGGAGGATTTTTCAAAAATATATACTAAACACGCATAGATGTGCGAGAGTGTGTTAGTTTTTTTATTTTCAGTGGTTGAACAATTGTTACTTGAGTGGTTGATAATTGTCATGATGGATAATGCTTAATTTGAATTTTTGTCATCACAATCTATGCGTGTTTATTACATATTTTTGGACAATCCTCCTATGGGTCGATGTTGGTGCTGGTGTTGAGGTCTCCATAGCCTCCTCTGTTCCTTGGGGGGCAATTCAGCAGGAATTCTTGGAGTCTCCACATCAGGATCACCTTGCTGCTGCTTCAATGTAGCATTCTCAAGGGCAAGCTGTAGGTATGCCTTCCCCATGAAATCTAGCTCATTCAAGGTTTGATCAAGTCAATATTGGTCTGAGCCAAATTCATCAGGGTAGGCCTAACCCTATGGTTCTCCTCCTCAAGTGGTGCGACGATGTTGCAGGTGGACTGGCCGCTCGGTGGGGAGGATAATGATCATTCTCCCATTTGATGTCGAAGTGGCGGTCGCGATTGATCACCAACGCCTGTCAAGCAGCATCTCGAATGGCGGCGGCACGTGTGAGCCGTGTAGTGATAGCACGGTGGATGTAGCGCACCCGACTCCCTTCGCGGATGTACACCTCCGTCACCCAGAAGCCGGTGTAGTCGGGGTGGATCCAATGCTCGGTGCACCAGGTGTGGTAGCGGCGTACAAGGGAGAGAAGCTTTGGGTGGTAGTAAGCATCGCCCTGCAAATCATAGTGGATCTCCGCTGTCCACCCCTCAGCCAGTAGTGCAGCATGGTAGTCATCACCATCATCTCCACCGTCTTCTCCATCTCCGTCACATCACCGACAACTCTGATTCTGATAATGGGGGTAATGATGGTGATGACAGTGGAGATGATGGTGACGGAGATGGAGAAGACGGTGGAGATGACTACCATGCTGCACGGCTGGCTAAGGGGTGGACAGCGGAGATCCACTATGATTTGCAGGGCGATGCTTACTACCACCCAAAGCTTCTCTCCCTTGTACGCCGCTACCACACCTGGTGCACCGTGCATTGGACCCACCCCGACTACACCGGCTTCTGGGTGACGGAGGTGTACATCTGTGAAGGGAGTCGGGTGCGCTACATCCACCGTGCTATCACTGCACGGCTCACACGTGCCGCCGCCATTCGAGATGCTACTCGACAGGCGTTGGTGATCAATCGCGACCGCCACTTCGACATCAAATGGGAGGAGGATCATTATCCTCCCCGCCATCGGAGCGGCCAGTCCACCTGCAACATCATCGCACCACTTGGGGAGGAGAACCATAGGGTTAGGCCTACCCTGATGAGTTTGGCTCAGACCAATACTGACTTGATCAAACCTTGGATGAGCTAGATTTCATGAAAAAGGCATACCTACAGCTTGCCCTTGAGAATGCTACATTGAAGCAGCAGTAAGGTGATCCTGATGTGGAGACTCCAAGAATTCCTGCTGAATTGCCCCCCAAGGAACAGAGGAGGCTATGGAGACCCCAACACCAGCACCAACATCGATCCATAGGAGGATTGTCCAAAAATATGTAATAAACACGCATATATGTCCGAGAGTGTGTTTAGTTTCTTTTATTTTCACTGGTTGAACAATTGTTACTTGAGTGGTTGGATGATTATCATAATGAACAATGTTTGATTTGAATTTTTGTCCTGATTGTGATGACAAAAATCCAAATTAAACATTATCCATCATGACAATTATCCAACCACTCAAGTAACAATTGTTCAACCACTGAAAATAAAAAAACTAACACACTCTCGCACATCTATACGTGTTTAGTATATATTTTTGAAAAATCCTCCTATGGGTCGATGTTGGTGCTGGTGTTAGGTCTCTATAACCTCCTCTGTACCATAGGGTGGAATCTCTACATCAGGACCATCTTGTTGTTGCTTCAATGTAGCATTCTCAAGGGCAAGCTGTAGGTATGCCTTCCCCATGACATTTAGCTCATCCAAGGTTTGATCCAAGTCAGTGTTGGTCTAGGCCAAGCTCATCAGGGTAAGCCTAAGGCTATGGTTCTTCTCCCCAAGTGGTGTGGCGATGTTGCAGGTGGATTGGCCGCTCCGACGGCGGGAAAGATAACGATCCTCCTCCTATTTGATGTCGTCGAAGTGGCGGTCGCGATTGACCACCAACGCATGTCAAGCAACATCCCGGATGGCGACTGCACGTGTGAGCCGTGCAGTGATAGCATGGTGGATATAGCGCACCCGACTCCCTTCGCGGATGTACACCTCCGTCTCCCAGTAGTCGGGGTGGGTCCAATGCTCCGTCCAGTGTGGTAGCAGCGTATAAGGGAGAGAAGCTTAGGGTGGTAGTAGGTATCGCCCTGCAAATCATAGTGGATCGCCGCGGTCCACCCCTTAGCCAGCAGTGCAGCATGGTAGTCATCACCATCATATCCAACGTCTTCTATCATCTCCACTATCATTACCCCCATTATCAGAATCAGAGTTGTCGGAATCATCAGGATCACCAGCTCCATCCTGACCCCTTGTTCATTTTCCTCCATGGGCTCCTCCTCGGATTCTTCTATCTCTATAGGCTCCTCATACATGAGCCCTTCTTCAGTCTCTTCATCCATAGGTTCATCCTCCATCATGTCCTCCAAAGGTTCCTCCATGGGCACCTCCACAGGCAGTTCCTCCTGGGGCTCCTCCTCCATGTTCCTCAATGCCTCAACTAGGTGTGGGGGAACGCGCTTGCCAAGCGTGAACCTCGTCCTCTTTGTTGGCATCACAATGGTACGCTTGCGGGCTGTCAGCTTGGTGTGGGCCATCTATAAGATAGAAAAGGTTGGGTATCAGAATAAGATAATTTTTGCAACAGATAAAAGAAAGAATATAAACAAAAAATTTATAGTAAATTAAAGGTAGCAAAATAAAGATAATGTAATCCTAAAAACATCCATTTCTAACTAGGTTGGTCATCCTACAGTCAGTTATAGCTTTGATACAAATTTGTCGCACCCAATTTTGCATAACAAAACCAAGTGCTCATATATGTGCGTCCAGGATGTCCAAACACACATATAATCTAAAATTGTAATAATATCAAAGTAAAATACTTTATTACATCGCATAATCTCATCACATAATTGTCACAAGTCTTGCTCGTCGGTAATATTATTAAATCGAATAGATAATTAAGCCCAATATGCCACAGGGGCTCCAACTGGGGAACATCTTCCTAGTAGTCCTGTATATCCTCTTCATATGTATTATCTGTTATCCATCTGGGATTTTCATTGAATGTAAAACAAGTGTAAGCTCACCATGCTTAGCAAGTATATCAAATGGATCTATGAGGCTCAAAGGCTAGACATGGTTTGACTACGGTTAGCATTTTTAGTTGGTCAAGTTTTAGCATCCTAAATCACTACTTTAGTGAGTAAACTCAACCCAAGTGATAATAAAGAATAATCAAGATTATGTCAATTTTCCAACCATCCATAGTAACCACTAATCATGAAGGATCCAGATCGCTCGTATCCGTGAGCATGTCTGTTATAATAGGTTAAATATTTCTGCAGAAATTATACAACTTTACCCACCGAGCCGTGATTCCCAATGCCGGAGTTTGCAAAGCCCACATCACCTCTACCTAGGAAGTATGGCAGGGTTTCACTACATAACCCTTCACTAGTCGCACTAACAAGTCGTAGCTGCTAAGGTTTCAGCTGTCTAGCTATATGTGGCCCTCGTGGTCATGGCACGGTACACACCCTAGCAGGAAAAGAAACATACCAACTAGTGACCCCCTCTTGCCCTTACGGAAAGCTACAGACGAGCTAGTACAATCTAAGTTAATAGGTTAAAGTCAGAGCCATATGACACTCGGGGTTGTATGAAACCTCCTGGATGGCTGCTTCAGGATTAAGTCCTTATGGAGAGGCACTAGAGCACTCAACCCAGTACTCTAGCCCACTAATTGTTGTTAAAAAGCTCTGTTTTAACATATTGCATAATACCTTTAGTCATCTTTAACGATTATTTTATGTTGAGCGTTGTAGCATCTATCCAAAATGCATCACAAACCATGTCTCAAGGATATGTGGTACAAGTAAAAATCTAGGTAAAATCCTTAAAGGTAATTCAAATTTAAACACATGCATGTAAATGAATTGTAGAGTTCATAGGTACAAGGGGCCTTTGCTACACTTGCCTTCCTCAAAGTCTCCTTCCTGGTACTACTGGTCACCTGACTGATCCTCAGTGACCTCGAACTGATCACCCTCTAAACGTGTTCCAATTCACCAATCAAGCATTCATTTCAATCATCACATGCATAAAAAGATACTTCTATTAGAATAGTACACAAATACAAAGATACTTCTATTAGAACAGTACACCAAGCAGTAGAAACATAAACTGAAAAGCTTATAAAACTAATCTACGTACTGCTACGAACACATAAGCGAAAGAATCACTCAAATCAGATTTAAAACACAAAAGTTATGCATGAAATAAGATTCTGGTGGCATTCTTGTAAATAAAACAAACTCAAATTTGAATAAAACCGACTGTAACGTGTTCTTGGATAGCGCACACTATTTCTCAAAAGTACAGGGGCTAAAACAGAAGAAAACAAGACTAAAAAGAAATACCTTTTGAACTAATGTTGGACCGCGGGTTGATTCCTTGAAAACACGAGGGCTAAACTACAAAAGTGCCCGGCTGACTACGGGTTGACTCACGTGGCTACTGACTAGGCGCCACGCGGCTGCGCGGGATTGGTGCGGTGCACCACATGTACGTGGACTCGCTGACGTGGACGTTGTGCACCACGTCCACGGTCCACGCGAACTCAGCAGGGTACACAACAAGGACGGGAAGCATAAAAATGAAGAGCGGGTCCACGCGAACTCAGTAGGGTACAAAACAAGGACGGGAAGCTCGTCGAGACGACAGCTCCCACAGCGGCGCCATGGCCGGGATGAACGGGAGCTCCCCTATGCGGCGCTCCAAGGCACTAAACTCAAGGCCGATGGGACGGGAAGGTCAAGGGGCTCACCGCGGGTCCAATGGAGGCGTTCACGACGTCCGGGAGGGCACCGAGGGGTCCGGTCGACGGCGAGCTGGAGAGAGAATTCGTCGCGGGTGAGTGTGAATTTGTGCGATTTGTTACCAAAACGAAGAGAGGAAAGCACCTACGGACGCGGCAAGGCATGGCGGAGCTCCTGGGTAAGACGGCGACGTCGATTGACACCGGAGCGGGCGGGCTACGGGACGGCGGTGCGAGCTCGGGTGTGGACGAAAAGGGAGAGAGGGAAGGGCTCGGCGGCGGGTCTTATAGGCGAGCGGCGCTGCAGGAATGGGAAGCGGCGTGGCGGAGCTGCAGAATCACTGGATTTTGAATCCTTTCCATTGCTGGCGCGGGCGCGGCGGCGAGTTGCCGTGCATGGCATGCGCCATCACCGGGAACGAAGAAGGAAGGGGAAAGACGACTGACGTGCGGATCTCGGTCGCCAGAGAAAGAGGAGGGGACGAGCGCGCGCCGAACTGGGCCACGGTCTCGCGCATGCGGAGGAGGGGCGCGGGTTCGAAGCGGGCCGCGTTGCTAGGCTACAGACGCGCGCGCGCATGCGATGGCGCTAGAGCGGGCCGCCGAGCAGGCCGTCCTGCCGGGCCGCGTGCGCGAAGGAAAAGGAGGGAAGGGCGCGCGGGCTGGGCTGCCAGCAGGCTCTGGGCCGAAATGGAGTGCAGGTGAAAAATAGAAAAAGAAAACTTTGCCAATTTCTTGTTTTTGCAAACTTGCTTCAAATTCAAACTAGATTTGAATTCAAAGCCACTCAACTCTAACCCTACACTCAGACAAAAACCAAAATGCCTCGGCATGAATACAGCAATCATGTTACTAAATCTTATAGTAAATTTTAGTTAGCCAAAAGTTATTATTAAACCTAGCTTAAAAATGCATAAAAATTGATTAAATGCTAAAATTTACTCACTAATTTGTAATAAATTTTTAGGGTGTTACAAACACAAACACAATTAATTCAAGAAGAATTGACACAATATTAAGTCAGATACAAAGAATATATGAACACAATTAATTACTAGTTTAGTATGTTTACCTGGATATACAACTTCTCCAAGCATGGGAAGCATCTCATGAAGTCAATAATCTCATCCAGGCTAAGAATAAAAATATTGACTGCTAAAATCTTGACAGTACATGCGGGTGTTGTCGAGTTAATGATCCGGAATTCCATCATGTCGTATGGCTGCATGAAACATGTGTCAGCCAATCTATAAATGATTATATTTTAAAGTATTTTTCTGCACACAGAGAAGCAACTCAGAAACTGTAGGCAAGAGGTACCTCAATAATCATAGAGCCCATTGCAAACCAGGAACAGTAATCAGTATAATTTAGGCAACCCAAGGTCTCCAGATTGGGTGCTGAAATAATTGATACTTGCAGTGGCATGCCCGTTTGTGGTGGTCGATGATACAGAATCCTTTTAAGGCAAGGGGCATCCTCGATGATGAATTCTTCTAGGAATGTCACTGATGTTTGATACCCATCATCAGCATGACCGACCCCAATGCTTGTAAGACTAGCTGAGTTGATCCTGACACAGTGGAAGCCAAATATGGTGCTAAGCAGCAAGCACTCCAGGACGGGAGAAGCAGCAATAATGCTATGCAGGGAATCCTCCGAAATGCGGACCGATTGAAGTGCGAGCTTCTTGAGCTTGGGAACTGAAGCGCCTGGGCCACGTCGTCTGAGAGGTGGCATTGGCTGAGAGTGGCGACGCAAAGGCACGACGAGAACCGGAAGGCAGATGCCGGCAGAGGTGGCGGTTGCAACTCCTGCGGCCCCCAAATGAAGGGGATCCAGCAGTCAATCTCTTGGAGGTCGTCGAGGGCGGGGGATCGGAGCCATGCATCCACAGTGGCGGGGTGGTCCTGTAGTCGCTGTGCGGGGAAGCGAAAGCGGCGGCCGGGGCCCCGGTGGGCGGAGAGGATGCGGGAGACGACATCGATGGTGCGAAGGTCACCGCCGTCGAGGTTGAGAGGGGCGGAGCGCCAGAGATGGCGCCACCGGGTGGCGAGGATTTGGGTGCGGGCGGCATCCTTGGTGGGGAGGCGAGAGATAACCTCACCCAGAATGGCGTCGCGGAGGCTGCTGATTCGGTCGACCCCGTCTTCTTCCTCTCCGTCGGCTCCAGGCGGCAGATCTTGGACGTAGGGTTCGTCTCCTTCTGCTCCAGGATGATTGGAATCAGACTCACTCGTCGCTGGTAGCGGCGAGATGTTCACGCCACCCTCCTGTTCCGGGCTCTCGGGTGCCTCCGGCTTCCTTCTCTTGGCAGGGCGATGCGCTACCTGCGTCTCCATGGCCGCCGGCCGGTGGGTTGATTGCGGGCGGCGGGGCGGGGAAAGGGGAAACACGACGGCTGGCTGAAGCTCCGTAGGGTTTTGGGTTTTTATTTTTTTGATGAGTGGACTCCGTAGGGTTTTGGGTGCGTGCAGCATCCACATTCCAGAGGCCTCCCGTTGCCGGCCCATGGCCCAGTCCATCTACGTTTGGCTTCAAAATCAACTTCAATTTTCGAATGCAGCACAACTTTGAGCTTGAACTAACTTTTGCGTAACGAGAAAACAAGAGAGAGAGAGAGAGAATCAGCATGTGTAAGTGGGACGGCGTGACCTGTATTATTCATCTGAACTCGCATCCTGTTTCTATTGCAGGATATTTTTTTTCTTTTTTTTTCTTATTATTGCAAAAAGTTTGTTCGAAAAGGTTAAATTTTGAATAAGCGTGCAACCGTGCGCCATCTACGCATTCATATGTTTTGGTTGATCTTTTCATACATTTATTTTTGAAGTGGGAGCATGGAGCACATGATATGCTCTCTCTCCATCTTTGGCACTGTTCTCTAGTCGGTTAGAATTCAATAGATTAGATTACATCATATACGGTGAACTAGAGCGAGGGTTTAGTGTCTCAAACCTCGAGCCACGAGGGCATGACTAGTTTAGAGGGCACTGCTAGAGAAAATTAGTTCGTGGACTTCGATCCCTCTCAATCGTCGCTTGGCGGATGGAAGCTAATCTTCTGCAAGCATGGCACACTGAACAACCTCCAGTTGTGCTTCGTCGCGCACCACGAGCACAACGATGGCCAAATCCTTATTGAGCGTGCGTGAGCCACGACTGGTGCCGGCATACGAACACGCATCGACGCATGATTGGAATAGGACGGATCGAGGAAAATGTCTATGGGACTACTTCAACCTCTAGACAACTTGGCTTAAAAGTCTTATTTTTAGGGGACAATTGTTTGGCGGACATCCAAAGTGATGGTTGTTTGCTAACGGACATCCCGTTTTGAGCAGTTTGCCAGAAGACATTTTGGTTCGGTGAAATTAGACAACAGGGCACCGCGGACCGGTTGCAGCCGGTTGAGGAGAGAGAACAACGGTGAAATGACATTCTTGCCCCTGCTGCTTTCTTCTTCCTCTCTCCTTTCTTTTTTTTTTCTGTTTCCTATCCACCGCAGGGGACGTGCCTGCCCAAGCTCGGCCACCTCCACACCATCTCGCTGCTCTCCTCCACCGCCACCTCGCTCTCCCAGCTCGCCGCCGATGCGTGCCTCCTCGCCTCTGCGCCCGCGCTGGCCCCATCCTCCTCCGCCACCGCCCCTTTTCCGCTGCGGAAGATGCGCTCATCTCCTGGCTCCGCTTGGGCTCCGTGGTCTCCCACGCCGCCACGCTGCAGGAGCTGGCAAGCACCGTCCCCACGCTGCCGGAGCCCTCCGCTGTCGTGGTCATCTCCGTGGTGGCGACACTGCTCGACTCCGCCTCCGCCGCAGCGCAGCGCTGCTCTCGCTGATGGTGTCGTCGTGGGCCTACTTGAGGAGGAAGGGAGCTAGCGCTCGCTGAGCAGGAGCTGCCATGCGATGTACCCCACCGGCAGCTCGCAGCACGTACCCCACCGACGCCCGGCTGGAGGCTGCTCCGGCTTCGCCGGCCGCCCATCGGGGGATGCGGGGCCGATGCCGAGGCAGAGGGAGGTGGACGTTGACGTCATAGGTGTAGTAGTGGCCGCAGCCGTGGGCGTCGGGGTGGTGCGGGTGGCGACGGGACCTTCAGGATGGGCACTGGTAGCTGTGGATCTAGGGCGGGTTGGGGGTGAGGGAGGAGGGCCGCCGGGGCCTGGGCTCATGCCGGCGCGCCATCGGCGAGGGCGCTGTCGCCCTACGCCCGCCGCCACCTCGGGAGAGATGGAGGGGTGCGCGACGCTGTGGGGTAGAGCCGCAGAGAGAGAGGGGAGCGGGAGAGGAATCGTCGAGTCGCGTTGGGGAGGGCACCGGATGTCCAAAACAAATTTTCTCTCTCCTCAACCAGCTGCAACCAGTCCGCGGTGTCCTGTGGCCTAATTTCACCGAATCAGAGTGTCTTCTAGCAAACTGCTCAAAACAGGGTGTTTGCCAGCAAACGACCATCACTTTGGATGTCCGCCAGACAATTGTCCCTATTTTTAGATACCTAGTCCTGAGTAACTCTTGCCACATACAATCCTCATTATGTCGATCACTGCTGCAGGGGCACGGTTTGCCCGCCGCCACTAACCGCTGCGGAGGCAAGAAACACCGCGGAATTTGGATCCGCACCGACCAAAGGGAGATCCGCTGTAGTCGTTCGATCTACTTTTGAAACATCCAGATGCAACACTTGCAACATATAAAAAAAATAGGTGGAACACTTGAAATATGCTTCTAAAACACTTGCAAAAGTACCTAAAAACACTTAAAACTATTGCAAACATATGTAATATTCAGATAAAACACTTACAACGTATATGTGAAACGTATGCAACATCTAGATAAACGCACTTGCAACAATACACCCGAAAACACAGATGAAACATGGATTAGACCTTTGCAACATACGTGTACAATCATTGCAACATATGCACATCCCGATCTACCTTTGCACAATCCATCTAAAACACTTGCAACATACTAAATCTGAAACATCTGAAACAATTAAACATATGCTTGCAACATGCGTTTTTAGCACATCGCAACATTTTCCTTGCTGCTTGGGACAATGGAGGCTCATCGGCGTGTGGAGTTTGCTAGAGGCAGCAAAGCAAACAGCTTAGGCGCTGGGTCGGTGCGCGGCCCACCGATGATCGCTTCTTGTGACGCGCACGGAGGCGGCGATGTCTGTGCCAAGAGATTAGGAGAGGGCAGCCGCGCACCATGCTTGGTAGGGCTGGTAGTCGAGCGCCACGTGTGGGAGCGATTTTTTATGGTAATGCTACGTGTGTTACGTCCGACCTGAGCAAATCGTCGACGCTCCCGCAGGCTCACCGCCTCATTGCTTGCTACCCCGTCGCTCGGTCTGCCCGTGAGTTTATTAAAAAAACACCTATGCTTATCCCTTCCGCTTCCTCCTCCCCTGTTGCAGTGCCCTGCGCCTGCCCCGTCCTAGACATGGACGCGCACTCCCCTCGCTGCTGTCACGCACCCCATTCACCGCCGCTCGCTCGCGCCCTATCGTGCGCGCCTCTTGCCCCCTCCTGTAGCATGCGTTGGTGTCGGTGGTGCTCGCTCCGCCCGTCGTGCGCCGCCCGCCAGGGCGAACCAAGCTTGGTGTTGGTGGTGCTCACGCGCTGCTAGTGCTGGATGTTAGTGGTGCTCGCGCACTGCCACTCGCCGCCAGGTCCCACCTCGACAACCGGAATTGACCAGCATAGCGGTCCCTCTCCCCTATGTTGCAAATATATATGTTTCAAGTGTTTCAGCGTTTCGTAGGTATGCTACAGTTGTTTCATATGGATATTGCAAAAGTAGATCGAGGATGTTGTATAAGTTGCAAGTGTTTCAGAGACATGTTGAAAGAGTTTGTTTAAAATGTTTCATCTGTTCCAAACGTATGTTGCAAGCGCTTTGATCTAAATGTTGCATATGTTTCACACATGTTGCTACAATATGTTCCAAAAGTTTTCATCTGTTCTAGTCTTTCGTTGCAGCAAGTATTTTCATGTTGCAAGTTGCAAGTGTTCTATCTGGATGTTGCATATATTTTCACACATATGTTGCAAGTGAATGTTCTAGATGTTTCATGTGTTTCAGACGTATGTTGCATTTAAGTGTTTCATGTTGCATGTGTTTCATGCTGTTCGGAGAGTCAGGGGACGCAACAGTGTTTCAGAGACATGGTGGCACGACACGGGCACTGAGGAATGGGGCGCCGTGAGCCGGTGGCCGGTGGACATGGCGCATGGTGCTCTGGGAGCTAGCAGTCGGGGGCATGACAAGGCAAACGAATGGGAGCGAGGTGCGCGGATGGGGGTAGGTCGAATCAGATGGACAGGCATGGATGGCGAGTCATACGGACATGATGATGGTGCGATGCGCATGCGGATAGGGTGAATTAGTAGACGGGGTCACGAGGGGCAGGCTATGCAGGCGCGGGCGGGAAACGGCCATCCGATGGAATTCTATCGCGTCAGACGTCTAGGCGCCAGTGCGTCCCTTTTTTTAACGGACGAACCAACAATGGAGAGGGTCGTTGAGCGAGCGGCGTGTGCGGGAGTGAACGGAATGAGGCATTGAAAGCTCTAGTTTGGTTTTGGTGAATTGATGAAACCCTTAGTGCTAACCTAGTTTATCAAACTGATTATGAGATAGGTAGCACTACTCCAAGTGATGAAGCAAATGAAGATCATGACATGATGATGATGATGGGATGGTGATGATCAAATGCTTGGACTTAGAAAAGAGGAAAGAAAAACAAAAGCTCAAGTGATGTGACCATGCCTCTTTTGCCCCTCTCTTTTTTCTATTTTTTGGGTTGTCGTTGTTTTTTGGGAAATTTCGACTTTTTTATTTTATTTTTTGATATGTTTCCTTTATTTAGGAGCACAAAAGAAGTAATCAAAAAAAATATGAGCCTAAACAAGTGAAAGACGTGGCCTGTGGAATTTTTAGAAAACTTGATCAAAATCGACAAAACCCTTGTGACCATGAAAAGAGGATCTTGTGACCACTTTTTGACCAATTTAAAATTTTTGAACCCCAGCTGGACGGATCCATTTTTTTTCTAATCAATTTTGATACATGGAACGTCGAAATCCGAGTTCGTACGCAAAAACTAGACCAGTTTTACGAATTGACTCCGAATTAGAGGACAAAACGGGAACAATGTGCGTAAAATTGGTCACAGCAGCAAGTATTTGATGGAAACAGTGAATACAAGTGTAACAAATTAGATGCGTGGACTAGGGTTTGATGGAAACAAAGGAAACACAGCAAGACTTGAAGGTGTTTACAGATTATGATAAAAAACAAAGAAAAAGACACAAACTGAACTAAAAACGATCTA